CACAAGATCCTCCTGGTTTACAGCTTCCAAATGGTTCTCATGACCCCGGTCCACTAGACCTCTGACTCTTCAGGCTTAGGCTGTATTCTCATGTTCTCTGAGTCCTTGTTCAGCAGCTGCTCCTTGGCTGACTCTGGACCTTTCTGGTTCTCAATGGCAGGGACACTTTTACATACTTTAATACAGTAAAAATAGAATTAAATATCAGTCAACAGGAGTATATTATTTGAACTCTACTTTAAATGTCTGAGTTTCCTTGAAATACTATTTATTTGAATAATCCTATTTAATATTTAGATAACAAGGTCAACATTTTAATGTGTGATATATGCAAAGCTAATAGAAATGGAGAATAGCAACAAGATCAGGACTATTTATTTGAGACGCTGAGAGATATATAAACTGTAGTGGAAAAACGCATTCTTTTGGAAACGTGTACCTCACTTTTAAATTTAAAGGAAAATTCTGTGCCCCCAAAATCTAAGCCTCCAGCCAAGTTTTGACAGGAAATACCTCTAAATCCAGAAGGTAGAAAACATGATATCTTTGTTCACTTCGTGTTGGACATAGCAAAATTTCTGAGGCTACATGTGCTATAAAGAAAAGTTTCCTTATATTGGAGTTCTGGAGGTGAAAGCCCAATATCAAGAGACACCATTCATTTAGCCTCTGATAAGGGCTTTCTGACTCTGTCACAGCATAGCAAATGGCACCCATGATAAATGCATGTGGGAGAGAAGTCTTATACTGAGACAGGAGGCAGGAGAGGCCAGCTAGTGCATTTCTGAGGACCCACTCTTCCAGGTTCTAGCCTACTCCTTTGAGACCAAATCCACTCTACCAGATCAGCTTAATCCCTTCCTAGCATAGCATCTCTGTCTTCTTTCACTATGTCTTGCCTCTTACATCTTGTTATATGGGGGGATGAACTTCTAGCACATGAACTTTTCAGGGACAAACAATAGTCCATGTCTAGTACCCCGGTCACATGAGGCAAATGTTATGGCCTATACTTAGGATTATGACAAGTAGATTTGCAACTGGTTTAAACCTGGGTTGCAGTAAAACCTGCATGAGAGGTTGTGTGTGAAAAGAGGTGCTTAAACATGAGGTCATTAATTTTTTCCTAAATTCATTTAGTAAAGCTAAGGCTGTGAAGTTAAACATGTAACAAGAAAGATACACATAGCTCCTTGAAACCAGTGCCCCTAATATAGTCACAAAACCAAAGCCCAATCCCAGAGCTTAAATCCCTTCCTCTTCTGACAATAAGAGAATAGAAATACCCATTTGTCATTTATGGAAGAGCTATGTTAAAGTGGTCTGTAGCTGATCTGTTTTTAATTTGCCTAACAAGTTACGGTCTTCCTTTAGCTTGCCTCTGTTCCCTAAGATACGGTGGGAAGAGCAGTTGATTATAGATCAGATGGCTTGCTTCCATATCTACCTCTGATTAGCTGGGGACATCTTGGGCAAGATACTTAATCTGATTCTCAACTTCTACATCTTCAAAAGAAAAATCTCTTGCTGAGGATACAACTCAGTGGCACAGAGCCTACCTGGCAAGTGCAAGGTCATGAGTTCAATTTCCAGTACCAAAGAAGAAGAAGAAGAAGAAGAAGAAGAAGAAGAAGAAGAAGAAGAAGAAGAAGAAGAAGAAGAAGAAGAAGAAGAAGAATATAGAATATTAACACTTTGCAAACTAAAGTATATTATGAAAG